TAGGGGCGCACGCTGGAGCTGGCTGAGCGTTCTGCAGGAGGTGGGGAAGGTGGTTGGGTTTTGGGGAGGGGGAGTCCGGCAGAGAGTTTGGGTGCAGGGTTCGCAGACAGGCTGTCCTATTTCTAGCGCCTGAAGAAGGGATTGTAGGGGTTGCGGCAAGACGGGGACCTGGGGATGAGGGCCAGGGCCTCTGGTCAGCCTGGTGGTTGATTTGGAGGCCTGGGTAGATCTGTGATGTTTATACTCCTTTTCCTGCACCTTACCCATGGCTCTAACGTGGGAGACTTGTCTGCTCCTGTGTCGTTTGTCAGACACAGTTCTGTGGTACTTATGGGGTTCTCAGGTGCTTTGGGATGCTCAGCAGCCGTTTCTGCTAACGCTTTCCAGACTAATGCGTGTGAGAAATGGCTTAAAACTGGGGGAGATACACGTGGCGAAAATGGGCGTTGAGTAACAAGAAGTGTGTCAAAATGAGGAAATGGCATTATTATACAGTTATGTGTTTTTACTGAATTTATAGCTTCGTTGTTTGTCATGACACTGTGAATAACAGTCATTGAGGAAGGTGTGCTTCTACCAGTGTGCCGGGTTTTTTGTGTCATTTGAAAGAGGTAATCAGTATAAAAGGCATGCATGCTGCAGAAAGTTAGTCCTATTGGAGAAACAGTTTAATTTGATGTGGTGTATGGTGAAGCATAATACACCTTTGTTTTAGATATGAGTTAGAGTATAAATTTGACTAAGCAACTTGCTTTTTTCTTTATTTTAGTGGTAAGTAAATTAGTGAAACCAATACATTGATTTGGGTGGAAGTCTCTTAATACTGTGGGTGTTCATGAGGACAGAACAGTGGGGGAGGGAAGCTGGTAAGTTATATGTTCTTTGGCAGTGCGTTGCATCTAGAACAAATTTACTGGTTGATAATGAGTAGATTAAAGAGTATTTTTACTGGTTAACATTCTTTTTTTTAATGCATGTGGCTATATCTGTATATATACCTGCTACAAGAACACATTTTACTTTTCTCTCAGATTGTGTACTTTAGGCCATATTCTGGTAATCGAGTTTTTTCAGATGGACCTTGCTGTGGCATCCTGATAAACTCAGCAGATATCCACAGTGATATGTGCTTCCACCTGTTGAATTGAAGACTTGTGCATATATGCATTTCTTTTTACGCACCTGAACAGTTGTGGGAAAGCAAGTTAGGTGTGACAAGACAGATATCTGGCAGAGTTGCCTAGGAGGTCTTGCCTTGAGGAAAGTAGGATAAACTGGGTGAATTTTCAGCTCTTTTTTTAATCTAGGACTGTGTGCTATGTCTGCTGAATTTGTGGGCCTTAGGCTGTAAATATTTCAAGGAGAGGAGTGTTTTGTCTGCCTAGAAAGGATATATGCTGCAAATCTTCCTGGTATATCAAAAGTTAATAGTTAACACTGGGCCTAAAAATCCAGCTTTGCACTGGTGTGCATCAAAATTATGAATCATCTAACTTTGCCAAGTGCAGCAGTGGCACACACTGCAGATAATCTAATATTCGTTTGTATGGAAAAAGAAACTGAGTGAATACAGTGGCACAGATATCCATAACTCCCTTGGGATTCTGCAGTTGTGACATCATACAAAAAGAATTATAAAGTCATCTCTAGGGTAGGGGGGCTTTTGTGCAGAAATTGGAGCATACACTGTTGGTGAGCTTTGTTAGACATGAATCAGTAGGGTTTGTATTTTGGTTTTGGGTCTGTTTATACCCCTGTGTACAAGCTACGCTATGTAAATGGCTTTGTCATGTTTTTTCCTTTTAAAAATGGAAATAAAACTCGTTTTCAAAGATGATTTTTTTTGTTGTTGTTCTCTATTCTAATGATAAGTAAGCGAAACTTGTTTATGTATCTGGAAATGCTTTTTACAGAGTTTTTACTTCCAATAGAATTGACTTCCCATCACGTTTGTCCAAGACTTTCCCATGAGAGAAGGCAGAGGAAAGCAATATAGGGTCTATAAAGTATAATTGGGGAACTAGACAAAGTCTAAGGGAAAGGCAGAGGCAGGTGTGTGAGCTATAAGCTCAGTTGAAAGTCAGTAGATTTAAAGCTGATAACATCCTGCATGTTTATTTCAACAGGATAAAATAATTTAATGTGGAGTTTAAAATAAATAAAAAGTATACAAAAAAGGAATGTGAACTGACTAAAGAACACGTTTCCCTAAAAATAGCTTCTCTTCAGAAAAGTCACTGATATACACATTGATAACTTAGCTTTCAGTTTTCTGTTTGTTTTTTTTTATGAAGTTAGACACAGGTGAATATGGCTTAACACCATGTTAATTGTACGGAGCTACCTTTTACAATTTGTAAGTGTAGGTGGCAAAGTGTTTAGTCGTAGAAGAGAATTTGTCAGGAAGATCCAGGCAGTGATGGATTGATGAGTTCAGTGTTTCTAGGAGATTATTAGATATTTACATGAATCTCTCTTTCAGCATAGTGTGATGATTGTTAATAATCACAGCAGAACTTGAGTTGTTGCGTGGTTGTCGCTGCAGTATGGCTTTGCTGATGGGAATATCTGGCTGCCCTAAAACAAAGACAGCATGCCTCAATCCCATTCTTAATACTTGAAAACAATTAACAGCATTCCCACGTGCTTCCCGGACATGGCCTCTTTTCCCCCCTCAACATATGGCTGAATGTAATTGTACCTGATGTATGTGTACTGGTTGCTGTTTTCCACCAACGGTTCCTCTTCTGTTTGTACCTTCTGTGTACACATAACCAGTTCTGTATTCCAAGGTCAAGATAGGTTACAAGGGATATGTGCTGGAATATGTGCATGCTTGCAAAACATCACAGGTTTGTTGTTCTTGGAGGAGCAGTAATATACTGAAACAAAATACATTACTAGAATTCTGCACTTACTTGAAAACCCTTCAGAAACATGGCTGGGGAAGGGAGTTGTGTTCATGCATTCAGAGTAGAGCAATAGCCTGTTGCTATAGGAATAAAAACTGCTCACTGAAAGAAAGTACTTTCCTGTATTAGGATGAAAATAGTATTGCAGTAGGATAGGTCAAAGATGCAGCAAAAGGGAGGTTATTCTGTAGAACTATTAAAACATCTGAGGTCATCACTCCCAAAAGAAGGGAGTGATAAAAATTAAAAGTTAGCTTACTTAAAAACGACAGCTGAGAGATCAGTATGGGCCGGTTTGTTCATTGC